GGATAGCAGAATGGCTAGTGAGGTAATGCAAGTCAGAGTGTTAAATGTCGCTAGTAGGCATATAATGTTTATGTTAATTACAATTAGACATATATGCTTCTGCTTTTACAAGCAGAAAGCATTCATTACTCTGTATGGGCGGCAGAGACACCGCCTACTATCAGCCCAATACAAACATAACCAGAGTAATGTAACGTATACAGCAATACTTTAAGCGATTGAATGGAACTCAGTAGTATAGACGCCTGTTATTTGCTGTGTCTGCCACTGCGACAGGGTTTTGTGCTGAATGCTCATTCATTCACGTGTGGTGGCAAACTTCTCGACGTCATTATGATAATAAAAGCAAGCGCGAGAGCAGAATGTTCGAGGCGCGTGCTGGCCTGACCCCAGCTGTTTTGCTTCTGTTACACAAGTAATCTGTGCACTTCATTATGAACTCCAGCGCTGGGGAATGTTTAGTTAGGGTGCACCAAAACTTGATTTAAAGTTGCCTTTAGATATAATTCTTAAGCATACTTTAATTGGTGTATGCCTATCCAGTGTTAAACCTGGATTTTGGGTCTTACGTTTTTTTAAACTTAGTTTAAGTAATGGTTTTCATGGATGAGGGTATGTCCATGTTATTATTTGCCTAATTCGGTGACTAAGTAAAAGATGAATTTGTGCCAAAATGCAATAGAGTTTCACTGACCGCTTTGTTGCCGTAGTTATGCGCAATTATAGCATGTAATTATTTGCCCTTAACATTATTTTACCTCTAATGCCCTATCAGAACAGACCAACAAATCATTTTGGGTCTAGGCCTACCAGTTAAATGCCACTGATTTAGATTCATTGACAAAATACTTTAAAAGTGCACATATAAACTTCATAACATAAAAAAATCCAAGCCACGGCATTCTTCTTAATTTGTCATGGCAAGAAAATGTATTTACTTTAATTGCGTCTCTCGCATCATTAAGCAGGCACGTCTGGTCTCTGGTGTAATACAACAAGCTTGTGCATGCTGTTTTTCAGTGTAGCAGCTTGAATGACATGTATGGCACGTAATAAGAACTAATCAGGAACTTGTTTGTGGGCACAATGTCCAGAGATGTCAGTTTGCCTTATGCCATCCTGGCTGCTTGGTATTAGACAATGAAAATAACAGCCCCCTAAGGTGTAGAGTTCAACAGTGTGACCTTATGTGAAGCAGTGCTCAGAAACTATAAACATTTGCCTACAGCTCACTGCTAAAAGCAGTTTATTCACGGGCAACTGACCCTCAAATCCATCTGTTTTCACTAGGCGTTTAGTTTATTTCAACATGCTGACATTTAAAACCAAAGTGGTAATTTCTGATGTTTATGCATTGTAATAATGTACAAAATGCTTGTATGATGCTGTATGCATTTGATTGACAAATCCAGCTTTTGCTAATTTAACTTTGAGGTTACTTAACATGCAAATGAGCCGTTGAACCTAGCCTGTGATTAAGCTGTGGATGATGCTTATGAACACATGCCAGATATGACTCATGGGTCATTTGTGATAAGTGTAGTTAACTCCAGTTATTCCTAATTATAATTTTTTTTCTTCTTTTGATAAGACCGGAAATTGTTTTATTCAGGTAGACTATGGCCCTCTCTACACGAATGCAGTTATTTTTTAAAACCGCAGCTTTTCCTACGCGGTTTGGCCATTCGTCCACACGCAAACGCAGCACCAGGTCACTGAAACCGAACATTTTTGAAAACGCCTGCCAGGGTGAAGTTTTTAAAAACTCCGGTTGCAGTGTTATCGTGTAGACAGTGAAACCGGAGTTTTTGGCTTGTGACGTCGGAGCCTGCGCCATCTCCGCCTACTGGAATCTTTTTCAGGCTTCTGATTGGCCAACATGGCTTTACGGTTGAGATTATATCGCCACCTATTGGTTTGGCCTGCTTTTGACAGTGCTTCATAGCATGCGTTTTCATGTGGACGGAGATTTTTTTTTTAAAACAGAAGAAAAAAAACCTCAGTTTATAAAAATACCCGTGTACGTGTGGACATGGCCTATATGTGGAAATGCATCCTAGGTAGTGAGGCAATTCATCATCAGCTGGATTTGCATGTTTGTTCCCCTCAATACTCTTTTGTAAAAAAAAAAAAAAGGATTATGTAAGTTTTTAAAGTGTAAAGATGTGAATTAGTCATCATGTTTTGCAGGCTCCTGAATTCTGAATCCTGCCTAAAATCCACAAAGATGCTATATCTGCCAGTGTAAGTCTTAATATACTGCTTTACAACATATTTGATAGCTGATTTCAAGTTGTCTGGTCATTTAAAGAAATATTTCACTCAAAAATGAAAATTTGTTGAACATTTTCTCACCCGCAGATCATCCAAGATGTAGATTTTGATGTAGAGCTAGTTTTTTCAATAGAAGATTTTGAGAAATTTACCATCACATCACTTGCTCACCAATGGATCCTCTCCAGTGAATGGGTGCCGTCAGAATGACACTTCAAATAGCTGATAAAAACATAACAAAAAATCCACATGACTTCAGTTAATGTCTTGTGATGTGAAAGGCTGCGTGTTTGTAAGAAACAAATCCATTGTTAAGATGTTTTAATGCAGGCTTCCTCCAGTGGAAAATCCTCTTACATCTGAATCCACTGACATTTGTTTAGAGCTTTAGTTTGTAGACAGTGCTTGATCTGTGTATATTTCTCTCCTGATTCTAACAGGACAACGTTATCACTGGAGAAAGCTTTGTTATGGATAGAGGACTTGTACTTTAGCCAGAAGTAACTCTGAAGTTAAAAATTTCTTAATTATGAATTTGTTTATTACAAACACACAGCTTTTCGTTTCACAAGACATGAATTGATGGACTGGATTTGTTGTGGATTATTGTGATGTTTTTTATCAGCTGTTTGGACTCTCATTCTGACGGCACCCATTCACTGCAGAGGAGCCATTGGTGAGCAAGTGATGCAATGGTAAATTTCCTTAAATCTGTTCAGATGAGGAAACAAACTCATCTACATCTTGAATGACCTTAAGTTGAGTTAGTTTTCAGCAAATTTTAATTTTTGGGTGAAATATTCCTTTAAAGTTAATTGATCAGCAAAATGCAGTTATAGAGATTCTCCATATATTATGAAAGAATTAAACTGACCCTTGTATGATTGATCGCTCAGCTGAAGTCACTCACCTTCATAATGTCTTGCATCAACTGTTTGTAAGTCTCTTTAATGAACAGTTGCTCTGATATTTCCAGTATCTGATGTTTTTATAGACTCATTGAAAGAAGAGCACTCTGTGTTGTTTTAGAAACACTGATTCTCTAGTGAAAGATACTAGTGTAATACTAATACTGAATCAAAGGGCTATTGCATGCATATTTGTGTACAGTATATACATGGCCACACGATGAACAGAAGATGATAAATAAGACCAAAAGAAAGCCCGGCAAAAAGAAATACAGAGTTGTTTATGAGGGCCCTGTGGGGAATGTCGGCTGAAAGGGTAAATTAGGGGCAACAGCTGCTGGTGTCACTGCAACTTGTTTGTACCTTCTCATGTTACTGTTTAAGGCAGCTCACAAGACAGGACACTTGCCCTCTTACGTACATTTAGGATCATTAAACCACTCATAAAAGTGACAACAGATCTGTTCTCAGATCAGTATAACAAGCCAGCTTGCACACTCAGCACAGCAGAGCATTGGAGAGAATTATTGCAAGATAAGCTATTTGATAGCATGCACACTTTTCATCATTACTCTGGACCTATAAATCATATCATCTCCTTTCCAGTGCTTAGTCTGCAGTGTTTATTCCTGTTCACCCAGAAATGAAAATTCTGTCGTTTGCTCACCCTCATGTTGTTCCAAACCCATATGACATTCTTGCTTTCATGGAACACAAAAAGACAACATTTCTTCTTTTGTGTTCATTAATAGATAAAGTCATATGGGTTTGGCTTCTCTCTGTCCTGTCTAATCCCTCATCTGCAGCTCTGCTTCTGCTTAAAATGGATTAATTAGCTGTGGGAGTAACACCATTGCCCTTAAACAGTGTATTAATCTCACTGCCCACACAAACTGAGACAAGACGATTTTTTAATGCTAATCTTTGATGATTTAGATGATGGTTTAATTGATACAAGGTTCCTTTCTGTGCTGTTATCACACACAAATTTAAAGTCTGAATTAATGTTGTAAAGGTTCACTTTACATGGGTCAGAGATGCAATAAAAGATGTACAAGGTTTGCATTTGCTCAGGAAAAACCAACCATCCATCAGGACTATTTGCAGAACTATGACCTCTAGAATCCTTGTTTTTATATTATGTTTAATATATTTTTATATATATTCTTCGGATCTGTCAAAATGCATGTAACGTTTACAACTTACTATTTATTCATCAAACCTGTTTTATAGCCTTGACAGATAAGAAACGCTACCGTTCACAGGTTTGGGTCGGTACATTTAAAAAAAAAAAATTTTTTTTTTGAAAGAAATCTCTTTTGCTGGCCAAGGTTGAGCAAACAGAGTAAAACAGTAATATTGTCAGATATTATTAGTTTAACATTTAAATGGTTTAGTTAAAATGTAATTTATTGCTGTGATGGCAAAGCTGAATTTTCAGCATTCATTACTCCTGTCTTCAGTGTCTCATGATCCTTCAGAAATCATTCTGATATGCTGATTTGGTGCTCAAGAAACATTTCTTATTATTATCAATGTTGAAAACACTTGTGCTGCTTAATATTTTTGTAAAAAAAAACTGTGATTCATTTTTTTTCAGGATTCTTTGATAAATAGAATGTTTATTTAATGAATAGAAAAAAAATGATTAGAAATAGAAATCTTTTGTAACATTACAATGTCTGTCAGTTTTGATGAATTGAATGTTTCCTTGCTGTTATAGAAGTAAAATATAAAAATCAAAGTACGAATGTCTTACTGATTCCTGACTTTTAAACGGTAGTGTATATGCTTATATGTTGTAGCTTGTTGCATAAACAGTTGTGGCAAAGTGTTTTTTTTTTTGGTTTTTGAACAATGTTCATATTAACAGGATTATGAAGCTGCAAAATTGTGTAGTGTTCTTAATATTGCTGAGTATAAAATGTCAAGGTAATTTGACCAAAGTTAATCTTCACTTCAAAATTAATCTTCACTTCAGTTTTCAAGCGTTTGTGAGTTTTAAAGCTGTGAGAGGATTTAGATTCCGCAAGTTTGAATTTTTCAAAGAAGCCCCATCCTTTAAGATTGGCTAGAGAGTAGTAGTGAAAGAGCAGATTTTACTCATTACACTGATAAGAAAAGTGTTTATTTGTGCAGACAATGGCACAGTCATTATCTGATACTATCTATTATTCTCTCAGCTGAGTTGAAGCCTTGAAAGCAAGCTTTGTAATATCAGTTCATTTTGAGACATTCTAGTTTTTTTTTTTATTATTTTATATATATATTTTTTTTAATAATTGTGAGTGACTGCTATTGTAGACATGGTTCTGCAAGACTCACTAACCTGGCACCGACACTTGTCAGAACCCACACCACTCCCCTTACGAAGCTGAAGGCCCTCTAGTTTTGTTGTAATATTAAGTTTCAAATGTGCAACTGGGATAGCCAGGGCTCAAGGCTCAGTGGAAATTTCCACTTCAGATTCAGGCAGCAGCCTTTGTTCTGATACAGGGGCTCGATGCAAGTTGCTGGAAATTGGCTTGGGACTTTGTTGCGAAAGAGTGCAAACAGCTTTTTCCCGTAATAAAGAAAAATGGACAAAAAACGATAATGATAAAAAAGAAAACTAAAAATCAATTTCTGGTAAAGCATGTTGCTGTTTTAAAGGGCTCCAGTGAATAGAAAGATATTGAGCAATTCAAACTTTTCCCAGCCTTTAATGGTCAGTAGACTATACTTTTTTTTTTTTAGGAACGCAGAATCATTGTGCATTGTGTAAAAATGTTTTGCCTTCCAATGCCCCTGTTTACTGACAGGCATCAGGAATACTAATTATCCAAACTAATTTCCCTAATATAGCCCTATTGATTTTGTTTGGAGTCCAAACAACTGTAAAAAGGGAACTATCAACTAACAATGTTAGGTGGGGAGTAATGTTTGCTGCTCAGTATGGGCATGTTGATAGTAAAAACATGGTTTTTATAGTTCTAAGTAGGGATGTAACGATTACCGGTTTGACGATAAATTGTGATAAAACACCCCACGGTTAGTATTACCATTTCATATTTTAATTATCACTATAACCGTATTCGATTACTGCGATTTGAACAACTGAGGATAAATAAATACTGTACTGCACAAGGCTCCAGAGTCGACCAAATGGGCACATTTTGCGATCATTTTTTCTGCCCGTGCGACTAAATTTTGTGAGCGGTCGCACTGGCGTGACCACCGCATTGTTTAACTCATAAGCGCTGCATTTCTGTTGCATATGAGAAACAGCAAACGAAACTGAAAGCATAATGAAACCGCACGACTCGTTTGAGTTGCGCAGCTCTTCGAGTGTAGAGCCTGGTTTTTCTACTCGCCGCGTCAGGAGTGCGAAGCTGCGTGCAGCAAAAATGATGCATATATTAATCGTGATAAGAAATTTTCATACTGTTACATCCCTAGTTCTAAGCCTTGAGATATTGTGCTCCTCCTTTGATGGTGGGGGGTAACAACTACCCTCCCTATGATGGAATATTACTAGAAGTACCTAGCAAGGAGTCTTTTTTCTGCTTGATAGTGTGCATGCAAAATAAGAGTTTTAAGTTACAGGCAAAGGTGGGTTATGGAAGCAAGTGTGTCTGTCTCCATGAATGTGTCACGTCAATTTTATTTTCACGTCGACGGTTACACAAGTGTTGTAGAGAGGTCAAAGAGTGGTGTCAGTAAGAGTAGTAGAGTTATTTTTGTCTTGCTTTGTTGAATGGATTTAACTGTCTTGGAATGAAAAGCTGAGTAAACACTTTACATAGGGAAAAATTATAGTCTGTCTGTTCCAAAACCTAGTAATCTAATGTCTGCCTATCCAGACAACATTTTAGATCATTATAGATACACTCTTGACGCAAAGGGTGGATGACAACAGTGTATTAACTTCTCAGTGACGCAACTTTTAGTTAAGTCTGAGTATCACATGCATCCTTTGCGGAGAAGGCAATCCCAAAATGCTCTGCGAAAAGAAAAATGAATATAAGTTGTAAAATAGGACATGAGAAATGTTGATTATTAATATACTGTATTCAGTACTGA